ACCTTGGAAAATTATTATTTTGCATGTATTTAGACAAACATAGATCCAAGGTTTATTAGGGTTGCATGCACACTTAGGAAGTGTTAGATTGCTCAAAACCGAACAGAGTGCACATTTTATACCGATTCAGGAGAGCATATCTGCAGAAACGTTAGCTGATATTTATGTGAGGGAGGTAGTGGCACGTCATGAAGTGCCTGTTTCGGTGGTGTTAGACCGAGATGTCCGTTTCACTTCCAGATTCTGGAAACGGTTTCACGAAGAGATGGGTACTCATCTCCATTTTAGCACCGCTTTCCATCCTCAGACGGACGGACAGAGCGAGAGAACAATTCAGAACCTCGAGGACATGCTGTGGGCATGTGTGCTAGACTTCGGTGGCAGTTGGGATGCATACCTTCCGTTAGCGGAATTTTTGTATAACACCAGTTTATCAGTCAGCGAGTCATTGGGAGCACCGAGGTGGTGCTCAAGATGACATAATTGATCCAGCAGGTTTGTAGCAGACCGCAGACTGCTCAGAGTCGACAGAAGAGTTACGCCAATAGGAGGCGTTTAGATTTGGAGTTTCAGGTAGGCGATATGGTCCTCCTAAAGGTTTCGTGCTGGAAGGGTGTTATCAGGTTTCGGAAGAGGGGCAAGCTGGGCCCAGGTTCATTGGTCCTTTTAGGGTTTTGTCCCGGGTGGGTCGGGTTGCTTATCGGTTGGATCTTCCGTCAGAGCTTAGCCAGATCCACAACACTTTCCATGTTCTCAGCTGAGGAAGTGTTTGGTGGACGAGTCAGCAATAGTGCCCATTAAGGATATTCAGGTTAATAGCAGCCTGAATTATGTCGAGAAGGCAGTTGCGATCTTGGATCGGAAGGTGAAGACCTTGAGGAACAAGGTAATTCAGTTGGTAAAGGTACAGTGGCAGCACCGAAAGTGTTCTGAGTGGACGTGGGAGTCCGAGGAGGAGATGCGGGGGCATTACCCTGAGTTATTCTTAGATTCGGCAGCAGCATACTTTGAGGACGAAGTTTGAGACAAGTGGGGGAGGGTTGTAACACCCTAATTCTGGTATGATATTTATATTGTTATTTATTGTTATATTTCTTTAAGTTTTAAGGGGAACTCGACGAGTCAGTAGCTGGACTCGTCGAGTAGGGCCGCGATTTTCGAGCACGCTTAAGTTGGCGACTCGGCGAGTCCATATTCTAGATTCGGCGAGTCCGCCAGTCTGGATGAAACCCTAATTTCAAGGGTTTGCACCCTATATAAACAACTTTTGGGGGCCTCAAGTCAGCCCTCATCACCCCTCAGAGTTTCATTCTCGAAACCTTAGAGCCCTTTTTGTATTTTGTGTAATTTTGGTGTATTCATTGAAGATTTTTAGAGATAAAGAAAGGTAGATCAAGAGGAGAAGAAGGAGATCCTAGATCTTTGAGGAATTTCAGAAGAAAGTAAGGTATATCTTGGCCCTTTTCTGTTTCTATGCTTAAATCTCCTTTGTGAAGCCATTCTTAAACCATTTCTTAGCTTAGTAGTAGCATAGAGGACTCATGGAGTTGTTTAACCTTCAGATCTAGCTAGATTTGATTTCCAGGAGCTTATATCTAGCACCTTTGTGGATCCATTTTGCATGAAATCTCTAGATCTACTATTATAGTGTGCTTTTAAACTTAAAACCTCCATTTTATGTTATTTACACGTAAAGTTGGAAACTTTATGTGTAAATCAAGTCCTAGGAACCCAGATCTATAAATGGCAAGGATTAATTTCAAGCAGAATCGAGTGTATAGTATTTGCATGCATACGACTCGACGAGTCGTTCTTCTGACTCGGCGAGTCGAGTCGCGAGTCCCCTGTGTTTCCTTTTTCGAGTTATACTGAGTGGAACCAGTGAGTGAGAAGTGGACTCGGTGTGCCAGAGGATTAGAATCATTCATGAAAGAACTCGGCGAGTCAATGCCCTGACTCGGCGAGTCCAAGGCCATCTTCATACTTCAAGAACTGACTCGACGAGTTGTTCATACAACTCAGCGAGTCACAGCTAGAATAGTCATATGATGAAGAAGAACTCGACGAGTTGTTCATACAACTCGGCGAGTTAGATGTAGATTGTCAGAGTATTAGTAGCGAATAGGAACTCACCGAGTTTGCGCCAAAACTCGACGAGTAGTAGCGAGTAGAATCAAGGAAGTAAGAGTAAGGACTCGACAAGTTGGCAGCCCAACTCGATGAGTCATGTCAACTGAATGTTGACTTTGATGGTTAGGTTGACTTGGACCAGGGGTAGGAGAGTCATTTTACCCTCAGTATTATTATTAACAGTATTTTATTGATGGTGCTCATGGGTATTGTAGTCGGGGTGAAACCGGAGACACAACAGACAGATTCTAGAGCAGTCCTTTCAGCAGCTAGGCTACGAGGTGAGTTTCCTTCCAGTAGGAACGAGTCTAAGGTCACAATGCCGGCCCGTTTAGTTAGTAGTAGTTTCCGGATTTCGGTCCGATGCAGTTGTTAGTGTGTTTGATGCCTTCGTGGCTCAGACAGGATTTATGTGTTAGGTGTTATGGGCTACGGCCTGACGTAGTATGCAGTATATGAGTTTATGATCAGGTGTGTTATGCCAGTTGATATGTGTTTATGCTAGCTATGCTATGCTCAGTCAGTTCCGGACTTCGGTCCGATGCAGGGGACAAGGTCCCAGTCAGTTCCGGACTTCGGTCCAATGCAGTTAGTTCTGGATTTCGGTCCGATGCAGGGGACAAGGTCCCAGTCAGTTCCGGACTTCGGTCCGATGTAGTTTCCGGGCTTCGGCCCGATGCAGTGGGGAAGGCCCAGTATGTGTTTATACGTTATTGTATGGTATGTGGTTGTTTGGGGGAGCTCACTAAGCTACGTGCTTATAGTTTTAGCTTTGGTTTCAGGTCTTTCCGCAAGTAAAGGGAAGAGCTCGGGATGATGGCATCGCACACACCACAATTTCAGTCTTTATCCTAGGAGTTTGTTGATTTGTAGTTTGATTTGATATAGTTGTTTCACGACATTTTACTATGAGTTGAGATATTTGACACATGGTGTTTATGATATGACAAACAGTATATGATTTTTATTACTATTTAAACAAAATTTTTGGGTCGTATTTTTGGGATGTTACAAAGAGAGAGAGAGAGAGAGAGAGAGAGAGAGAGAGAGAGAGATGTCGTGGGACCTTTTAGTTTTTTTAATTTATTAAAATATAAAAATAAATGAAGTGGCATAAGGGGGTAACGGGTTTACCCCTTCGTTTTCTCAAAAAGGACTTATTGGAACTGACAAAACTAAATTTGTTCCCTTAAAAATCCATCTAAAAATTAAATGACCAAAAGAATAAACCTTTGAAACTTCATAGGGCATAGTTGTCATTTTCCATTAATAAAATCAAAAAGACAATAAAATGACAAGTGAAAAATAGAAAATTCAAAAGTGTTAAAATATGTTATGTGTCCAAGTGAAAGATAAGAGGATATGTGGAAAAAAGATTTTGAATTATTAAGGAGGATTTATTTATGTTTTTTGAACAATGTCACAGGAAATATGATTAACTTTTGAGGCTCTGCCATATTTTATACAAGACCTTTGCAGAGCTAGCATGCTATGTAAAAATGTTTGGGACAAATGTTCTGCCATATTTTGTTAGATCATAGGTTGGTCACTAACATGTATTTTGTTGAAACCTTTTGAAGAACTGCTACTTTTGCCCCTTTTGAAAAATTGCTACTGTTCCCATTAGTGAAAAATATGTTGAATATCAATATCCCATCTAAATATGTCTACAACTATGTAAATTTGTTTATGTAAATATGTTTATTCAGCTTTTATTTATATTATAAGTGTTATATCCTTTTGCTTTACCATTTAACAAATTTAACATACAAAAATAGTAGGGGTGAGCAAAAACAGAACAGCAAACCAAAAAAACTGCAAAAACCGAAACCGAAAAACCAAAACCGAAATGAAAACTTATGGTGCGGTTTTTAGTTTTGCAAAAACCGAAAATACTCGGTGCGGTGCGGTTTCTAGTTTTGCAAAAACCACAAAAAACCGAACCGAACCGCACTATATATATATATATATATATATATATATATATATATATATATATATATATATATATATATTAAATGTTGATATTCGTAAGAACCAAGAACTTATGACAATTAAAATTTCTATAAATATAAATATCTATCTTATCTATCAGAGGATGATTGTATATTTTTAAGGATATATTTAATGGTATTTACAATAACAAATAATGTTTATGATATTTTTTAACATTTAAATATGAAGAGTACTATTGATATAGTATCATTTTTATGAATATATTAATTGATATTATTGTATGTACTTGTGAAACAAATAATATATTAAATTCGTATTATATTCAAACATTAGAAACATGTTGGATGATTGGTTACGTAATTTGATTTCAAACCAAGAGGTGGTGGTACCGGTTTATCTCCAATAAATGATTAGCACTCCTTAGATAAATCAAAGTAACTCGCTGAGTTACTTGAGTTTTTGTAAAAAAAAAAAACGCAAAAAAACCGAACCGCAAAAAACCGCAATAAAAAAACGTAAAAACCGAACCATATAAAACCGAACGGTGCGATTTCTAAATTTAAAAAAAACGAAGTTGCGGTTTTCAGTTCAGTTTTGATCAAAAACTGTACCAAACGGCACCATGCTTACCGCTACAAAATACTTAATTCATACACTTTTCAACAAAAATTTTAAATAAAATTTATTAAATAATGTGAAACTTAAACTTCATTGCTTAAAGTACCACCGCGGCAATGCGCGGCCATAAAACCTGGTTCATCACAAGTTCTTATTCTACTTATATTGATAGAGTGGCAAACCAAATTAAAAAAATAAAATTAAAAAAATTAAAATAAACCATAAATTCTCCCCCGTACATATATTATTCCATTCATATATATCCACCAATTGTGAAGCTGGCATTTTAACCCACCCTAATCTTGATGTCTCCGATGATAAGCCCTTGTGCCCTTTTGAAGTAACTCGGAAAGTTTCTTACTCAGCAGCAGACGTATTTCGGCACGCTCGACCTGCCATGCACAGTATTTCATCAATTTATCTTCGATTTCTTCATACTCCATTCGAGACTGCATATGGAGCATGCAAGCTATTATCACAGCTTTCCCTTCGTCTGATATTTTGTTATACGGGGGCAGATCTTCTATACTTGCACTGAATCGTGGATAGTGTGGCTGAAACTCTTTTATGGTCATATCCCGAGGACCAACCACTGCTGTTTCACTCTCACCCCAAATCTCTTTGTAGAGCTCTCGAATCTTGGCATCATGGCTGCTGCTAGTTCCTTGCAATGCATCTTCTGAATTATTGTTCATGAAATTAGTCTTGAACCAACTGACCTTTTCGCTCACCTGGTCTTCGGAAAACTCTTCTTCCAAATACGGCTTTACAATCTCATATAACATGTTCATATCAGACTTGTTACTCATTTGCTTCAAAGTTTCAAGTAGTGTAATCTCATCCTTTTCGCTCCAAAGCTTTTTAACGACACCGGTTTCTTCTTGGCACTCCTCTTGAACTTCTCGTTTTTCGGATTCAGATATTTGATCAACGGGTTGCTTCCTCTTCCGGGAGTTGCGTATCATTGGCGACTGGTTACGGGAGCGACTGTCTTCCTCTGCAGAAGATGAAGGGATTACAGTGTTATCAACATCATGATCGTCAGCCATTTTATTTGCGTGAGATTGAGTTTTTGTATTACTTAGTTAGGGCACGGAAGATATATATATATACACACACTAGTCAAATAATTATAAATATTACGCTTTTATATACGATTGATTGCGTCCTATCTAAATTATGGGATTGCTTAATCTCAGCCCGCTATTTTTTGGCATATATTTGTAGGTATATATCCCATAAAAAGGTTGATTTGGTACAAAGTAATTAAGGGAGGAATTGGTCAAGATATTGTATCAATCGATGGGATATAATTAGATATAAAGTGAAATGCAAAAAATGTTTATATTCAATATTTTGAATATATAGAGGATATATTATAAAATTAAAGGATATCACTGTTGGACGTGGATCTATTTTAATTTAATAATATGTTCGCATTCATCTTTTCAAGCCTGACAATAAACAATACTTATTGAATGGTTTTTGAAGTTGCAACGCTAACATCGACCAAGAATCGTCAAAAATATAATTGATGATGTTATGGAATAAGAAATGAAGAAATATAAAACGGTGAATATGTATTCGGCCAGACAATCTCTCTAGCAATGTAAACATTTGAGGCAGGGGGTCCCATAGGTTTTCCATACCGTGGGAGAGATAGGTGCTTTTTTTTTTTCTTCTATCATATGATAGACGACGAAACATATACATGTAAAAAAACATATATAAAACAAAAGTGCAACAATTGTCACAATTAAATAAAATCCATATTAATACAAATAAAAATCTCCTAAGACAATATTTGATCATGATTCTGGTAGAATCGATGGGGATTAAAAATTGAGATTACATTCTACGGTGTGATAATAAGTTGTGGTTTAATGTCATAAAAAACATTACGTTTGGGTGAGAATGTCGGTTTTAACATTTGAATGAATTTTTGTTAGTTACATATATGCTGAGGTGTCATACACATGTGGTTGATGTGGTAGAAAAAAATTAACTTCAAGAAATGTACATTACAAGAATGGAACCTTGCTCACCAAGAAGCAAATTATACAACTTTTCATTAGGCTAGAGAAATACTTATTATGTTAATTCTAAAGATTTTTTATATAATGTATAAAAATTCAAGGGATATTAATTTTAATAATTATTATAACTTACCTTTTAATAAGAATTATAATTTAAAATTTAATAATAATTATAACTAGATGGAACCTTATTGTATGGGGTATGGATTTTTTAACATAGAGGATGCAAAGTTACTATATTTCCAACTCATGGCAATCTTGATCTGATACCACTTTTAGTTCAAAATTTATAACTGCAATTAAACTTTTACGGTTACTCCATAAATTGAATCTGTTTACGTAACACTTGATGATTTTTTCACAGGGGTTTCAATCGCATAGTCTTGAAAAGGTAACGTAAAACATTAGAAGTAACATACGTGAAAATTATTGGTTGTTTGTACTTTATGACAATAACAATACATACGCACGAATAATTCAATGCAATAACTATTCCTAATAGCTTGTTTAAATAGCATGAGTTTTGGTTTATCAAGTTCCAGCTTGCAAGAGTATAGAAAGACAACCATAATACGGATGTTCACATCAATTTGGCTATCATTAAGGTCATTTCCATCCAATACTTCACCGAGAACACCCACTTGTGTGCAGCATGTCATGTTAGATGAAAAAAAAATAGGGCTTAGGACTAATAATTGATTTTTAAAAGTTTTATAAACTCTTTTTAACATATATTTTGCCAAAATCTTATATATATATATATATATATATATATATATATATATATATATATATATATATATATACTTTATAAAGCATTCATAAATGTGAGACCCTCAAAAAATTAAGACAATTATCTTAAAACTCAAGGAAATGAATTCTAAACCCTTGAATACTCTTTAGACGGTGTAGATGATTTTATCAGTGATCCTTGTCAAAAGTTATTAACCAATCACAATCTTTTATTTGTTATGTACAAATATTGGAGCATCATATAGAAACTTTTGTGCATGAAATGTTTTAAAGATTTTAAAACTCCTTTTTAGCAGCGCATGGCTATTGGCCCTACCATTTTCACATGGACGGGCAATTCAAATTTTCTTTTTAAAATCTAGAAACATGTAATTTGAATTGAGCTCTCAAAAAATGACGGAGCCATTTCGAATTTAGGAGCCTCCTCTTCTTTCTCTATCCCATTATCTATGTTCTCTCTCTATGTGAACCAGATCCGCTGCTGCTTCTTCCGCAACATCTATAGCCAACCACCACTCGTTGCTATGTTCACCACCATCTACAGCCACTCGCCACCAACCAACCTCGACCACCGCTATACGAGAGTAAGCTCTCTCTCTCTCTCTCTCTCTCTCTCTCTCTCTCTCTCTCTCAAGACATACGGATCTCAGGCTGTCATCTTCCCAGCTTCATCACCACCATCACCTCATTACTCTCTTAGAAAACCTAAGGATCTATGCATCACTGCCGCCTTATCCTTAAAACCGGTGTTGTAATGTAAGTTTTCCTTAATAGTTTACGATTGTGGGTTTCATTTACAAATGATTCTTGAGTAAACCCACAGATTGCAGGTGGGTTGATCTGAATCTACGTTTGAAGGTCAGATATGGTTCGATTTTTCTTTGGGGTTAAGTTTGGGGTTTTTACTCATTTTTGTTTAAATATCAGATATTGGTTTGGGTTTTGCAAGTCAGATGTTGATTCCTGATTTTTTTCTCATTTGAGCAGATCATGAAAAGCTGGTTTCAAGTTCCATTCAAGTGTAATTTGCCTTTCGTCAACCTACCTTACGCAAAACGATCCCACCTGTATGAATATGCTGATGAAGACATCTAGCAAGTTTTGGGGCTGATGTATGATATATCCTATATTCAATTTGGTTCTAGGGTTATGTTTTTTCTCATTATCGATGGGAAAATTAGAGAAGATTTGTCTTTATCTGTTGTAAGTTTGATGTGCCTCTGTTTTATTTATTCTAGCCTTTGCCACATGTTTTATTTTAGTTTTTTTTCCAGGTTTTGAAGGTAAACAAATGGAGTTTTTATCAGTTGGACTGGCCTTCTAATTTCTTCTATGGCGAGAGTATTGTTGATTTCTTACCAAAACTATGACATATATGCTATTTCAAAAATATATGTTGTATTGATTCTTGGGTTGGATGGTCAGAATGTCAGATCTACCTAGATCTATACATAGCAGATGATACCAATAACTTTTGATTAAATCGTCTGTTTTTTTATCCGATAATCATATTTCTGATTTTGTTTTTTATTTTGTGCAGGTTGTTTGGTTATGGGTTTGAATTTATGGACTTGGGTATAAGAACATGTTAAGGTTTCAATAATATTTGGTTATTGTCTGTCAAATAGAGTAAAAGTTGAACTCTTTTGTTGTATTTTTATAAGTTTACATTTCAATTTTCAGGTGAGGTGTTCGTATAAATCTGAATCAATTAAAAGTTCTTTAAATCTTCAAGTTTCAGAAGGCTAAAACGGTACCCATCAAAATTTTTTGGCAAAAATGAGTTTCTTACTACTTGGAAGAAAAAGGGAAATGGAGATAGATGGTAGTTACGATTGATGCTTTTCTAATAGATGTACAAAGAAAATGCATGATTATGATTTTCAAATCTGAATGTGTGTAGGATTGAATCTGATTTTTTAAATTTGAATACATGTATGTGTGTGTGATTTTAAGAAAAAAGTTAACAACTATTTCTATATAACTATTATATTCAACAGAAAAGAATAAGAAACAAGATATTGGTATATATATATATATATATATATATATATATATATATATATATATATATATATATATATATATATATATATATAAATTTGAAAAAGGATAAGAGATACATGTTTAAACAGAAAAAAGATGATCGGTTTTTGTTGTTTCATGTATGATATTTGTGTTGCCTAAAATTTAAAAATAACTCAGAGAAATAAAGACATCATCTTTGATTGCATTTGGTTATGATATATAAAAATAAAGGCTAATTCTTCTTTAAAACTGTTACTTAGGATGTATTTGATCAAATTTGGTTATAATAGTCATGTAGGATGTATTTGATCATATTTGGTAATGATATTTAGGTAAATTGTTTAAAAATAAAGGCAAATAATCATATTATGATTTTTAAAAATATAAGATCATAATAAAAGAATAAAATTTTATACTAATTAATAATTTGCTTTATTAGAATTGTTTAATTAATGTGTCATACTTTTATCTATAATCTTATTTTTCCCTTTTTCTAAAACGCCCACCCTCAATAAACATTTTTAATATTTTTTAATTGTTTTAGTTGATGGAAAATATGTTAAATGTCTTTACCAACAATTAAGTAACTTTTATCAAACAATAGTGTATTATCACTATCATTATAAGATAAAGTTTAACATACATTTTTTTTAAAACCAAAATCACAACTTAAACATTTTACGTCTTCTTTGAAAATTCATAATTCTATTAACTTGCGTATTTTTGTTAAATAAATAACTAAATTACACGAGTAGTCCCTTTGGTTTGGGATATTATGTATATTTGGTTCCTAAACCCTATTTTTTTTTTTTTAACTCAGAGCATCTAATGGTTTATTATTGTTTTGGGTTTAGTACTTACGAACCCGAAATGTCTTTTTTATTTTCTGTTTAATTTACTTCTGATTTATTTATTATAATTATAAAACTTAAATTTGGTCCATTCTTTACCATACCCCTTTATGTCTTTATCGTGGTTTTCTATTTTCTGTTTAATTTACTTATGATTCATTCATTATAATTATAAAACTTAAATTTGGTCCATACCTTACCATACCCCTTTTATTAAAAGTTCTTTGTTGATCACCATCTCATGCCCCTGCCGCAAACAACATTGCAGTGTCATGAATGTAGCCATAAACTATCTGCGGAAAGGAACTATGTAGCAAAAAACAATCTACCAAAAGATCGAAAGAAACTATCCGCCGTCAAAATGAAAATAATCTCCGAGTG